GCAGCAGCAGCAGCAGCAGCAGCAGCAGCAGCAGCAGCAGCAGCAGCAGCAGCAGCAGCAGCAGCAGCAGCAGCAGCAGCAGCAGCAGCAGCAGTGGATCGTCCTGCACTCATGCAAACATCGTATTAACAAATGCATTCACTCACTGCGTGCACGGGAGGAGACGACACATCTGGCATTGCTCATTTTTCGCGCTGCGTTCGGGGGGGGGGGGGACTGCAAATCCTCTCCGTGTCGTAAGAATAAATACAAAAAAACGCAGCAACACTCTGCAGCCTCGCGAAAACCAACACAGTGCAACTGGTTTGAAATAAACATGATCCACGAAGCTGTTAAACAGATTCTGGTTTGTTTGCTCCGGGAGGGAAACAGTATCTTACCGTCAAAGTCCAGGGAGGGACGCCGGTGATGTGATCAGATGCTCCAGTGGAGATGATGCTGGACACCTCAGCATCACTCTCTCAGGTCAGTGTCGCCCCCGGTCGGTGGAAGCGGGGCACTGCCGTCAACAACCTCTGATGGTGTTTTTTTTTTTTTGTCGTGTTTTTATTTTTGCAGATTTTCCCAAAACACAGCGAAAATTAAGTGTTGCATCGCGTATCTTGTCATTAAGAATAACATATAAAACATTTTTAAAGTTCAGGAAAAAAAGGATTGTTGTCAAGTTGTTAAAACATAGGATACCAAATACTTCCGTTTAAAAAGTAAACACTCCAAACCTGTTCAGTCTAATCCATCAAATTTTAATTCCAGAGCCTGTATTCACATATTATCATTTGTGTCATAGGGTTTAACAAGATGTAACATCCTCTGTTCTTAACTCTCAACAGGCGTAAACCAACCAAAACCTATTAACAGGGGAAAACACGTAGAAAGGTCAGAGAGGTCAGGACGGACAGAAGACAAAATAGATACTGCATGTAACTGAACGCAACAACAACATAACAATATTTACAACAACGATTAGAAGAAACAGTTTGGAATATGATGTCAAAATGTTAATGTTTAAAGTATTGGTGCATAAGAAAATGTCTGATAGAGATGAAGGGAGCAGCGAAGAGTTATTGTCAGTAATGGTAGAATATGTGAGAAGGTGTATTGATTATTATTATTATTTCTTTTTAAATAGTTAATGTGGAGGCTTCACTCTGAACCAACTACAGCTCTGCTTTTACTTTGAAAATCCACCAATCTATCTACCTGAGCTAACTTGACAGAGGACTACAAAAATGGCTTCCCGGCGGAGGCAGAGGGGGGCCTGAAAGAAATGGGTGTCTTAATTTAAGCCTGATATCTGGAAGGCGAATATCTCTACTTAAATATTTTTTTCCCGGTCACCTGGACATTTAAACCAAATACACGTGCAGGTTTGAAACACACTCTGTATCAGGGGTGGCCGGTAACCAGACGCCGTCCCCGGGTGTTCTCGTGCGGGGGGCCGGTGTTTGACCGGCAGCGGAGCAGGCAGCGGGTCCTGCGGCAGGAAAAAGCGCCAACTTCTGCTGCAGCGACCCGATGGTGGAACTCTCGGTGCGCGGCTCCTAAACTGCTCCTCCCGGGACGTTTACCGAACTGTGCCGTGGCATGACTCGCTCGGGTAAGACCGGGGGGGACGCGGAGCGCGGAGAGAAGTGTTGTCGTCTGGTTATTTTTTCCTTCTGGTGAACTGTTCGCTGCCTCCTCCGCCGCTTTGACCCAGTTTACCGCGGCTAACTGCGCAACAACACCGACGTCTCTTCCGCTATTGCCAACCGCTTCTTGGCGCTAAAGACGCGACGGCCGCTAATGTTAACCACGTTTGTAATGTTTATGCTAACACTCACCCTAAAGAGAGGTTCAGAGTTAGCTATCGCGTTATTTCAGTGGCTGACGCTATAGCACGGTGTTTGCCAGAGCTAGCTCGGCTGTAGCGACACAAACTGCGAAAGTATTTACTTTTAAATTCTTAAGTTTTTTTTATTTTTATTTTCTGGTGTTTATTTCTCGTTTGCAGGTTAACACAGGGTCAGCGGTGCAGCGGGAGGTTCGGCTGAGCTCGGCAGTGCGATAGTTGGATTAGAAATAGAAGAAAGGCAGAAAGCGCTATGAACTATAGGACTATAAAGACTCTAATGCAATAGCAAACTAAAATACACATTACAAGGTGCAGTGTGACGTTCGTATGGAACTGAATGGATTGTGTATGCATAGTAATTGCAGCGTGTGTGTTTCAGTTGTGTCACATTTGTCCAGAATTAAATTCAAACAAGAAAACAACTCTGGCGCCTTTTGAAATCACTGTGCTTCCTTCTTCTTGCCACAGAGGAGCGCTGTTTTATATCAAAACGAATTTAATAACAATCACCCATGTAAGCTTTTTTTGGTTTTTTTTACAAAACATACTGTACACATTTAAAGCTGCAGTGTGACATTCGTTGCACATGACAACTTTCAGGTGTGTGTGTTTACATAGTTATTGCACCATGTGTGTATCAGCAGTTTTGTGCGAGCAGGCAGGAGAACAACTCTGATGTCGCCCTTTGAAATTCCACTGTATGTGTTTCCTTCTCACCACAGAGGAGTGCTGCTCTATCTCAGTAGATAATTAATCACGCCGTCCGAGCTGCCGTGAAGAAAGATGCCAGGTCTGCAGGGTGAGGATGTGGTGGCGGCGCTGGGCAGCCCTATCAAGAAGAGCAAACTGTCTCTGAGGTTCTTCCAGAAGAAGGAAGCTAAACGGGTGCTGGATTTCTCTGAGCCTCCAGCAGATGAACCTAAATCATCTGACCTAACGGAGCATGAGGACAGGTGGGCCCATAGGCTTATACAAAGTTCTGCATCGTTGAAGTGGTGTGTGGGGATAACTGACATCATTACGGAGCCGTTAACACTGATTCATTCATAGAGCCTGTTCAGACGTGGTAATAACATTGAGTGATTGCATAATTATTCATTTTAAACCTGTCACCAATTATTGTGAGAATTAATTTATGATTTAATATATTTGCTTAAAAAATTGGCACACACATTAATTGTTCTAGCTTCGGCAGTCTGAGGATTGTCCACTTTTTCCAGTCTTGTATTGTAATAAACTGTTTACTTTTGTCCTTCAGACACTTTGTCATATACAAAAACCTATCTTAACAAATTACCTTGGGCTTTTGGAAATCACTGTCAGTTCCTCGCTATTTTCTGACACTTCACAAACCACACCCAATTAAGTAATTAACAAAATTAATCCTCATATCAAGCAGTTCTGCCCTTTAAGTATATCTGTGGGATGTTTTGAGATCCAATCAAGGAGCCGCTGATAAAGATTGAGTGTTAAGTTGAATATAATAGCATTTTAGAAGTAGCAACTGTCTTACCCAGCTGTAATTAAAAAGCACAAGAATCAAACTCATATCTGTGTCTCTTCTTTACTGTTCAGCAGCGGGGATCAGGTGGTTCCTAATCCTCTTCCATGTCCAGAGTCACCTTGTCTCCTTCCGTCATGTGAAAAGAGGGAGAACTTGGTGCCATTTGTGGGCTTCAACAACCTGGGCAACACCTGCTATTTGAACAGTATCTTACAGGTTGGTCATTGCCAGAGACAGAATAAATCTATGTCTTTAATAACGGAAGCTGCATACATGTGCACATTACATAGATTGCATTCATGTCTAGAGAATTATGATTTTTTGCAAGGAAAATGTATTTGACTATTTTTGCGGCTTTAATTAAAAGTTGGACACTAGAAAGTTTCATTCAGAAAGCTTTTTTGAATTATCTGTAGAGATGGATTAGTTGTAAGAATTCTAGATAAGAAAAATGCAATAATTAATCTTATGTCTGGTTGCCCTTGCAGGTTCTTTACTACTGTCCAGGGCTCAGAGGAGGCATAAAGAAACTGTACGAACTGTCCAAAAGAAAAGACAAACCAGGGGAAGAAACGAGTAAAAGTAAAGAGGTTGGTGAAACAAATGACAATTTGATTTTGCAAATTTATACCGGCAACGAGTGGCTTCAAGATGGACCACAACCTTTATCAACACTATTAATTGAGAGTTGTTAGCTTTGCTCTTTTTATTTGAGGGTTTTGTTCAGTGTAGTGTTATCAAACACACACTATCCTGGTATAATGTATCTGATCCTATAGGCCAAGATCTTTTATTTAATTCAACATTTTTCTCTCTGCATTCTCAGCAGGCAGAATATGTCGCCGAGTCCTTGCCAGCTCACGTTGAGCTGTTGCAAAGCTTCAACAGTCTGATCACATCAGTGGAGCAGCTGCAGTCCAGCTTCCTGCTCAACATTGACAGCTTCAGTGACGGAGAGCTCTCCACACCGCCTCGAAAGATACTGCACACGCTCAGGTAACAATATCACATCATTTTCAATAATCAGACTTACACAAGAAGTCTTCTTCTGATTGATTGTATGATTTTAAAAATCCTATTAAGGTGCAATGTAAAACCTTTAATGTTATCGCATTCATATGATGACTGATAAAAAAATAACACTATATGTCAGATTATATATTTTGTCAACATGTGTTGCAGGCAGCTGAACCCCATGTATGAAGGCTATCTTCAGCATGATGCGCAGGAGGTGCTGCAGTGCATTTTGGGATACATCCAAGAGGCCTGTGACACCATCAGGAAGGAGCAGAACCTGGAAAACGAGGGTGACGACGCACTAGAAGTCAAAATGGAGAATGGTATTAATTTGGGTTCCAGCGTTGCTGGAACAGATCCCTCAGAGAACAATACTACCACAGACGAGGACGGCCAAGTCAGCGGCAAGAGAAAGAGTGACACTGAGGTGGGAAATGCCAAGAAGAAGCCAAAATCTGTCAAGTCTAAGAAGTCTGATGTGGAGGAAGACAACAGTGGTAGAAATCTACCCTTCACACGCTCCAAAAGGAAGTCCTCCAGTGACATCATGGTGGACAGCACCCAAGATAAAGGTGGAGCAGAGGAGGAGGAGGCGGTGAAGAAGCTAAATGGGAAGGAGGATGGTGGGAGTGATGGTGAGGGGAAAGGTGAAAAGACGTCTAAAGAGGCAGAGGGGAAGAGGAAGAAACGCACTAAGCTGAGCTGGTTGAGGCCTTCTGGGAAACAGCCAAGTATTTTCTCCAAGTTCCTTAGCGTGGGGAAGATCAGCTCCATTAACACGAAGAACCAGATTAAGGTGGAGCAGGAGAACGGGCAAGGCGACGAGCAAAGTCCGAAAGAGAAGAGCAGTGATGAGAAATCACAACAAAACGTGGCTGAAGATGAGAAAGTGAAACATCAAGGTATAAAACAATTACTATTTTTACACTTTGAGTTTTGAGGAGTTAAAACTGAATTAATGACATTGTTTTGACATGTCAGAATGCACATAAAAGTAAAGTCACAGTTTAAGTGATTAAATAAAATGGTCCGTTAAATTCTTGGTTTAAGTATGAAAAAAGAGTTAAACCTCTGCCCTTGTCAGACACACAACTCACAATGTGACTGCAGACATAACATACTCGTGTGTGTGTGTGTGTCTGTTTTATTTAGACGGCCTGGACCTGTTAGAGCGCCTGTTCCAGGGTCAGCTGGTTCTGAGGACTCGTTGTCTGGAGTGTGAGAGCTTCACGGAGAGGAGAGAGGACTTCCACGACATCAGTGTCCCCGTGCTCGATGAGCAACCCAGCAGCCCTGACGATCTCTCTGAGGGTGAGGATTGGTACAGCTTCACCTTTTCTTTTAGGTCACAAAGCAGGTGAAAAAGAATCCATCCAATAATAAATGTAATAACTGATTTTAATCTCTCCAGTTTCTCCAGACCCAAAACCCGAGCTGAGGACTCTGAAATGGGCCATTGGCCAGTTTGCTTCAGTGGAGCGCATCGTTGGAGAGGACAAATACTTCTGTGAGACCTGTCTCCACTACACAGAGGCAGAGAGAAGTCTTCTGTTTGACAAAACTCCTGAAGTCGTCACCATTCATCTGAAACGCTTCTCTGCCAACAGTTTAGAGTGAGTTAAATGCTAACTTAGCTTTTCGCTTAAAGGTTCAGTTTGTAAGATTTAGGTGAAAGGGATTTTTGGCAGAAATTCAATATAAAATAATCCTAGTGATGTTTTTACTGGTGTATTTCATCTAAATTGTATRAATTGTTGTTTTCTTTACCATAGAATGGGCAATTTATATTAAAAAAATCTTACATTTACATGGAGGGGGGTCCTCTCTGTGGAGGCCGCTGTGGTTTTTTTTACAGTCTTATACTGGAAAAACTAAAACCATTTGCATTTTCATGACAACTGAAGTTCACCACAGGTTCTCTTTCATGTTGGGAAGGGGAGGGTAAGATAAGGAGCATTCTGCTGCAACATGCAACGTCACCTCTAGATGTCACTAAATTCAAACTTCCAATAATTATGGCCCAAGCACCGACGAGTGCGAAGGCCCATATTGAAAGTGAAATTATTATTTTAGACTGTTTTTTATCAATTCTTTTTCAGTATTTTGTCCCAAAACTACGACGGTGTATCAGGGCTATGTTGAAGAGAAATAGAATTTAGATTTTGAGAAAAAAGTTGTAATATTATTTGATAAAGTTATAATTTTAGGACATGTGTCTTGTGAGAAGAGAAATTCCAGAAGATACGTGTGTTGCCTGTGTTAGAATGAGGAATGTGAAGCATCTTGTGAAGCAAAATACTAAATATTTTGTCTCATCAGCTCCACATTAACTGATATTAAGTATCAGGACTTTGAAACGATTGTGGTAGGAACTGTCTATTCTGAAGAAGGATCCACGTTAACTTGAAGGAAATTGCCTGAATCATTTCATTTTACATGATGTTGATGCAAGATTTTCTAAATTCAAGAGGAAATTACAACTTTATACTTGTAATATTATAATTTAATTGTTTAAATCTCAGCATTTGTTCTTCAACTTTGCCCAAATAATCTCATCATTATTATTATTATTATTGTATGAGGTATTTATTATAGTAACTCATCTCCTTTTTTCTTTCCCTCTTAGTCTGGACCCATATGCTGGCCTCTCTAAAGTGAATACTCCCTTGCAGACACCTTTTACCTTGTCTCTGGAGGAGTGGTGCACACGTCCCTCCACTAAAGGACAACACTACCAGCTGTTTGCTGTGGTCATGCACAGCGGTGTCACCATCAGCAGTGGCCACTACACCGCCTACGTCCGCATGTCTGATCTGAAAGATGTGGAGCTCTGGCCGCAGGGCAAAGAAGAAACAGAAAAGGGGAAAGAGGAGGAAAAGGACAGCAAAGAGGTAGTGCAGTCGAAAGAGGAAGTGTTGGACTACAATGATGGTGAAGTGTCCTTCAGTCTCAGAGCGAGGGGACAGAGGGGTGCAAGTTTGGCAAGCAGCAAAACGGGGGGTAAAAAGTCAGAGGGTACGGTGGGACTGTTGGGCGGCCAGAGGAGTTTGTCCAGTTATGAGCTGGGGAGCAGCAGCAGCAAACACACAGATAAAGCAGTCAACAGTGCAGCAGCAGAGGGATCGAAACGCAGGAAGACGATCAGTCTGGGCCAAAACACAGAAGCGGGTCCAAAAAGGGAGCCTGAGGAGGGAGAGGAGGCATTGCTGCCCTTTTGTGGTGGGGTGGGGGCCACAGAGCAGCAGGCACTGAATTCCCTACTGGAGTACGAAGGCAAATGGATGCTGTTTGATGACTCTGAGGTGCGTTTGTTTGAGGAGGAGGATTTCCTGCGCGCCTGCTCTCCAGAGACGATCTCCTCATCAACGCCATACCTGCTCTTCTACAGAAGAATGCCTGAACCTGGTTGCTAACATGAACACAAGGACTCAAGCGGGGGGTGCTGATCAGGCTTTTTGGCTAGTAAGTGCTCAGAAAGGAAAGACGTTTGTAGTTTTTTGCTATACTACAAACTCTGTCAAAAAATACTATGGCTGCCATATTTAGAACCTGAGCAGAAGCTCCTTTTCAGGCCAGAAACCATCACACGGACTCTAGTTTGGGTTAGAAATCATATATTTCAGAAATTACTTGATTTGTCTTTCTTCGTGCCATGGATGAATGTGGTACAAGATGTTTTTGCTGTCCATAGTGTTTCTTTGACACTGTCATTGTCTTACCATGTCCTCCTTTTTTCATTTTTATCAGTCATTGAGTTTCTATGGTTCCTTTTTACAAAATGGAAAAGCACTTTAAACGAAAATATCATCAAGTGAAAATCGGAAACGCTGGAAAATGCCCTTTCCGAGCTAGACGTTTGTCTATATTCTATTAAATTGGATGCAGAGAAGACTGTCAGTGCTGTTTATTCGGAAACATCATGCAACCCCAAAAGTCAAATAAAACAAATCTATATTCCCAAACACATTCATACTTTCTATGATGCCTGATATGGATGTGATCAATGCATGTGAAACCTGGAGTTCACGCTACACAGCAGCAGAAGCAGATATCTACATAAAACACAGAAAAATATCTAATATACGACAAGCTTGCACATATTTTCTTAGAACTGCTAAAACGTTTAATGTTTCTATAGGGTGCAGTTTTATGCTCAGCATATTCAAGACGCTGATTCAGTTCGAGTAAAATGCTCATAAAAGTTCTTCAGTAGGCTGATGGGTTGTTATAAGATTTTTTAGCAAGGTTGTGACCATGGTTATGCCAGAACGCCTTATTCATCTTTCATATCTTATTTAGTGTGCAACGAACAATTTTAGTATTTGGATGCAAAATCTTTTAAAGGTCTGCTACCTAAATCAGGTTATGACTTAAGCTGTGAGGAGGATGGGTCAGAGACTGGACAATTTAAGTGTCCTTTTTTTGACACATGAGAAACCAAATATTTGTCAGAAAATTGTGAAAAATTCTGTTTGCAAATCTGTTTCAATAACAGACCCAAAGATATTCCGTCTGCTATTACAGATCACTAAAACCAGAGAGTTTATTTAAATTACAAAAACAATGAATCAGTCATCAACATACATGCCGATAAAAAGAGATCCTAGCAGCTTGTTTTGAAACTCACAGCCATCACCTAGTTGTATTTTAGAAATTAATTCATGAGAAAGTTGAACAAACTCAAAATAGTTGAGCGGTAATCACAGTGGACATGAGCAGATTTTTAAAGTTTTTGAGAAGTTTGAAAGTCCAGAATCTAAAATACAACCACTCTTTCGAAGCGCATTTCCACAGATAGCCGTTGAAAAGTTTTAATGTTTGTCTGCGCTCAGACTCCGAAATGTCTGTGAGATTACATTGGATCACAACTCTATTTCGTTTTGTGCTAAATAATTGGTTTATGCACAATATCCCATTGCTTTTGTGTTAGAAATAAGGACCCAGGTCATAAGCTTAACCTGAGGTAAACAATGTCACCTTTTACTGAATGTGTCCTGAAGTTTCCAATGCAGGTTCTTGTATTTCACAAAATGCTTTTTGACTTTTTTTAATTGATGAAACCAGTCAAAGTAAGTTTGTCCTTTAAACTGTACCTCATCCCAAATGTAATTCATTTTGACACTTTGGTACCACGACCAATAAAGTTTTTACCTTTACCAAATGTGCTCCATAAAACCATGAGTAGCGCTTCATAGATAACTGTATTGCACATTAAACCACATAAATACATTTACAATCAAATGAAAGATTAAGCACGGTTGTGGATAAAGGTAAGCAGGATCCTAACTGTCTAAATATTAATGTCTAGTACTGAATATCTAGTGGGTGTAAATGAAAGTAGAAATATTAGAATTGAGAAACCACAATAGTAAAGTAGTGCTTCATATAAATCTTAAAGCACATAGTGCCATCATCTGTTCACTGTAAGATCAAAGCCAAGATAAAGGAACAGAAGCTTGTCTTGGATTCAAAGTCAGCCCAGTGCTTCAGTGAGTAGTTTGGCTGTAATGATGGAGGAAAGGTGCAAACAGTGCATTTCTTTCATTATGGAAAAAAATGTGTATCCCCTATAACAGTTGTTAGGCTACAAAGATGTAGTCCATATTTAATATAGGTACTGGATACCATGTGAAATATACACTTAAAATTTGACAGTATCATGTATTTGAATGAACATAGTTCATATGAAAGTTTCAAATAGCACATACAAGTTTGGAACTTTGTTACCCAATTAGGAAGCTATGTAATCAAAGAAAACGTTCATTCATAACATTGCCAATTTATAGTAGGAACAATTAATCAGCTCTGGTTTTATATTCAACATTCTTATTGCAGTGAAGCGAATGATACAGTTACAAGGAAATAAAAACATTGTTGATTGATTGCTGATGAAAACAATGCAACAATGAATTAATTAACCCAATGGTTGCTATCTTATTTATTTTCTATGGTGAAATTGAATTTCAATTCACTTCTATTTGTATAGCACCAAATCCTAGCATACTTTATCTCAAGGCACTCTACATGCTCAAGTTTAGACCTTGAAAATTATA